ACTATATATCCTTTCTTTTTAATCCTCTCTAATTCATTTCTGATGCATTGCTTATATAACAGAATATTTAAATAATGCATGTTTATTCATATAATAGAATGTTCATATGATAATAACCAGGCTTTATTCACGAGCAAGAACCCAAATGTAATATACAAAAAAACAATAAAAAAGGGAAATCATGAATAAAATTCTAAATAATAGTAACATAGGAAACAGAGAAATGAAAATTCTAAATAACAATGGATACTTTTATAACGGAGTTTCTACTGTATTTTAATGCACTCGGCTACGTGATCATGAAATTCATTCTGACACACCGTCGATGTATCCTCGAAAAAGTTGCACGCGACGAGCGAAACGCAATGGGATATATTGTTTAACAACGAATTGATCTTTCTTGAACGCGGCGTGCAATACGAAGCGCGTAAAACGCCCGGAAAATGCTTTGCTCTCAGCAAATAAAATGCGACGCGTGGTACGCGCTATTATAAATACGCAAATTGTATATATGTACATGCACATATATGAAACATTCGTATAGCACTGGCCTAAAGCTTCGGTGAAACATTTTACCTATAATGCCTCGATCAGCGTTCCAACTGTCTCCCTTTTTATCTCTTTTTTTTCAAACGCTCGACTCCGTGTTCTATTTTGCGAATCACAAAGGTATCGAATAAAAAGCCGGGTGATACACAAATCACGCAGTATTCAACACTACCAGTTACTGAAATATCTCTTTACAGCTATTTCGATAACGCGGTTTGCTTTTCTACACGATTAATTGTAACGAATTACGAGTTTGTAAAATACGGTAAGTTTTATAGAATTTTTCTTTCGTCAAATTATGAGTGTCTGAGAAGACACAAGTTGAAGATATTTTTCTACGTGATAAATCTTATCATTGTGTGGAAAGAAATTGTCACTTGATATCTATAAAAAGCTTTGAGAAGTTTAAAGGAAACTATTTCTTAAATATAATAAAAAGTATTGAATACAAACTTGATTGTGTCAATATCAAACACATAATGTGAAATGAGTATTTATATATTGTAAGAAAATCTTATAGAAAGCAGGAAAAAAGTTAGTTAATCACGGGACGATTACACGAAAAACAGAATTTGCCGACTGGTACTTCTCAAAAGCAAACAATTGGAGTTCTACTCAGATATCAGAACCCTTCGCCTCGAAGAGTTTCCGGAAGCGATTAAAACTTCCATCGAAGACGTTTCAGTGGAAGATACTTTCTCCGTTAAATTTCCAGTCGTTAAAAAGGTTCCCCAGATTATTCCGAAGTTTCACAATGATTCGTGATACTTCTTTTTGTACGACACTCGGTTTCGACTTTTTACTCTTCCACTTCTTGTTTTTCATTCCTTATCGTACTTATTTTCTCGTGAACACGTGCCTTACGCGGTATCAATTGCCCGGCGCTCAAGTAGATCGATATAGAAAACCACGTGAAATGCTGTGTTTCACAAAATTCAGCGCTTTTCAAGCATGAACCTGCTTAAGCCACTCGACCTCCTCGACTATGGCGAAAGCGTTCCCGAGTAGCTGGGGTCGTTTTACCTACTCTGCTCCAGAACCAGATTAATTAGAATTTAGTAACGGAACGGAGGGGCGGGAAGTGTACAAGGGAAACCGGGAGTACGTATTCCTATTCTGTGTGCCGATGTGTTTTTCCTATCCTAATTGCAACGCGCAGTTACACAATCGTTCGAAACCGCGTAAGTGTAGTTGTACACACAAGTTCCGGCACAGCAGGCATTTGTTGTTTCGCTTTGACCAGTTGTAGTAATGTTAGCTTCAGTTCTGTCCACTTTGCTTAATTTCGATTTCATGATTGTTGCCTTCTGAATTTATGAATTAATTGGCTGTTTCTAATTTTACAATTTAACCTGCCACGGAGTTTTAGTATATCATTTTGTAGATAACTGTATTGCAGCCGACTCTTTTTTGAAGTACGAAGTGTAATTTACGATAATATTAATCACATATAATTAATTAAAATTTCTGGTACATTAAACATTCAAATCTATATTATTAAATATGAATTCAATATTTCTTATGCATGAAACGTTATTTTATTGACGTATAAAAAAATACCGATGGGAACCAATAACCGCAGAATATAATTATAATAGAAAAATGTTTTCAGAAATTTCAATTCATAAAGCCATTAGCCTACATATTTATTATTGACAATGTTTTNCAATAACCATTTTAGAAATCTATTACGGACACACTAGCGTAAAAATCGAACGCTATTTCTGTTCATGTTTCTTGTGGTTTAACAATATAACTCAGTGGTTGTCAATATTGATTTCAGACCGGATATAAACGCGATAAAGGGATTGGTATCCTCCGGCCCACCGGTGGCAGCAAAAGTGGCACCCCCGTCAGTTGTGAATAGGGTTGCAGCTGAAGATCGTGAACTGGCCCGACAAGGAAGTCTCGTGGACGGGGAAAGCATCAAGATCGTCATTCACCACGCGGACAACGACATGAGTAAGTATTTACCCAAAAGTATCTGTAAGACTATACTTTGATTAGAATCCGAAAAAGTTTTGGTTCGAGGGTTAAATATAAATGTCGACGTTAAAGAGTAGAGAAATCGGTAAAACTACGATTTATTTAACGTTGTCGTTAGAACGACTACAAGAGGAGTGACCCTCAGGTCAAATATTTTAGATGTCAGTGGAATCCCTCATCGCCAGTGTCGCCTTCGCACCGGTTTTTTGTAGTACTTTGAGCTCAGATCTTTTCTTTTCCTAAGAGGCCTGCTTTTTTAATTTCCTTACGTATCTTTCATTAAAATTCTGCCCTCTATTACTGCTGAACGTGATGCGAAGCGACGGAGGATACGAGAATTACGTTAATTTAGCACCCCGGGCATGATATTGTTATCCGATAACAACTTCAACGGTATCTAGCTGCCTGAAGGATCTTTCAGTTAGTCTAACTATGTGAGATGCTCGGAAGAACTGAGACGATGTAATGTTCTATATATATTAGTGATATCGGAGATCCCTCGATAGGGGGATGTACTAATAGAGTAGTTAGACTCAGAAGCAATCACGCGAGATAATGCGAATTACAAATTTTAGTATCTGAGGAAGAAAGTTTGCCAATCATGGCTCGAACTCTTTACGAGATATTAAATTTATTGCATTTGAGATCATGGAACGCTGTAGAACAAAACAACGTAAAGAATTCTTATCCATTTCTGTGTTGTATGAAAGATTATGTTTTACAAAAGTCAAATACTTGTGAAGAATTAATCACGATTTCTTGTGTGTCTTCACAAAACTTGAAATATTACCAAAACAGAGTCAGGGGACGATTAAATTTGAGGATCTGAGTAAAGACGTTGAACAATGTAAATGAATTACAGAACGATGTATGGTAGATTTAGCGTTAAACAAATTTTCTCACAAGAAATATGAAAGGGTTGAAACGAAAATCATGAGAATCCATTAGATATTTAATCACTAAATATTAAATCAATTGTATTTATTTTGTTATGATTTTACCAGAGACTTTATTACGTCTTTCAATTTTTCGGAAGTATTTTTATATCTGCTTTATCATGATCATCTGTTTTTAGATGATGTATAAAATGGCTATTTCCTTTTAGCCTGTTCTGATCAATTTACAAGCTGCCAGGAAAGGTGGCCATAAAAAGGATATCGGAAGCTTTACCGGAATAGTTTTTGAGACACTTCAATTTGTACTGTGAGAACGAAAGTATCTTTGTTCCAGATACTTTAATAAAATTTGCAGAAGCTGTAGATCTCTGTTCAATCAAAAAATTGAATTAGATATAACGATATAAAATCGTAATTTCAGCAAATCTTAATGCGACGATTTCTTATTACAATTAAATTTATTCGATTAAGAATCTAATAATTAATTTCGTAAGCCTCTTTTTTCTGAGAAGAAGATAATTTAAAAAATCTAAAATAAAGAAGATAATTTCTGTAACGAGAAAATACATGAGAAACATATTATTGAACTGGAATGAAAATTTACTTTGAGCAACACAGGAACGGTTTTTATACTTTTTACATTATATTTTAAGGCTCTCAAAAAAATATTCGGTATTCGTGAAAAGCTTGAGAGACATCAACTCACTTTCTGCAAGAATGGGCATCGATCGGGGGTGGAATTGGGGGTATAAACGAAATCGCCTTTATGCTACATCGAGCGGAAGTCACGCGTTTGCATTATAAAAAAGAAAGGTGCCCCAATCTTCTTCCACCGTCCAAATATCTCTCTTTTGTTACCATTCGGTTGCAGGGATCATTTTTCTTTTCTATACATACATATATACTTTCATGTGTCATTTACTTCTTTTTGGAGACAGCTGCCAATTATTCTGATTTCACAGTATCTCCTATATTTTTGAAAAGTCGTATATCATATTAGAAAGACGATTCACAAAGTCCCTAATTTACAATATGTTTGAACACTATTAATATTTTTATTTGTCAGATTTCATTACAATTTTATTCATTATCTTGGAATATATTCAAAGCATAATTCTTACTTCCTACTTTATTTACGTACTCTAGATTTAGAAGAACACGAAAATTAATGCTTCTACTTTTGTGTCGTTTGTTATAGCGCCATGGGCAAACGCGAAGAGGAGAGTAGTTAAGTTGAGAAGAGATCCGACTTTGGACAAGGGCCATAGAAGTAAGTACACAATCATTCTAATTTAAACTCCGACATTGAACTTTGGACACTAAAATAAGTACAATGATAGTCAATCTACTTATTCCTTCCTCATAAAATTATATATTCAAAATTTCAAACACAATAAATCGATTGTAGTAAAATACAGTGCTCTTCATTTCAGTAGATTTATATACATATATATGTATATTTCAAGAGAGAAATTGTGGAAAAAATTCTTGCTTAGTAGTTAGATTCCTTTACAATATGAATTAGCGAATGGCAGTAGTATATATTGATACACTTGGAAATATGTTGTTGTTGGAAATGTAATAGGCTTCTGGCTTCCATATGAATAGCCTCAAGTGTTTAGTCACAATTAGTTGACACTTTGCGATAGATCAGAGAAGAAAATATATATAACAATTTTATATCTATGTTATTTTATTCATATTATATACAATTTCCTACAACAAAGTAATACAGGGTATTCGAGGCTATCCAAGTGGATAACACTGTAAATTCGAAACGTATACTTCCTAAAACATTTTGATACGTATTACCATGAAATAACAGATTGAAGATAAAGATACTCAAAAATATAGAAGCCACTGGCCAATCGATCGGATAAACGAGATAAAACTGGGTCGTACAGGTTGATAAAGAGCGAAAGCAATGAAAACAATTGAGTGGAGTGCTAGCAAGGGCGTGCGTGTGACGTTTAATTACCCGTTGCGCTTTCGAGCCGAATGTTTGCTCATTTTTCACGTCTCCCGACTTTTACAGCAAATTTGTTAGCCCAGATCAAGACTAAGAAACAGTGAATAAATATATCTACGTTGAACTCCGAAACGGTGGAACCGTTCTGTTTAGAGACGAATGAATAGTATAACAATGTGTGAAATAAATAAAAATTATGTTCGGTATTTCGGCTACCTTTCAGCTACCGGGTAGGTTTGACCTAAGCTATGGTCATGTGTATTTGCACAACGACGGATAGTATAATAGAAATTATTCAAATGTTAACTTTTACTCTGAAATCAAATTTCTTTTATTTTTTGTGGAATGGTTCCCATTTCTGCAATAAAATTGGAAATAGAATTACAATCCCGCATATTGTTAGCGCGTGACCTGAATACTATCGAAACGAAAAAAGCGTTGAAAGAAATGATAACGAGAATCTTTTCTGAGGCACTCCTACGCGGACCTTTCTGTGCAGCAATAGTGCCTTTGCTGGAGGAAAATCTACACAGATCGTTAAAATAATAATGACACATGTTACATAAGTTGAATAAGTCAAACGTGGAAGTCAAGCATTTTATACGAGATTCCTACGAGGCAGGAGGAATACAAATTTCTAGAGTGAAATTAAAAGTTTTGCATGGGGCGGTGTAAGTGAAGATATTTTAAAAATTTCAGTCGTCAAGAAAATCTCCGGTTTGAATAATTGAATGGGGGTTGCGCGAAGGTTAAATGTGGGAGATATTTGTTTAAAAGTTGGTGAACTCCGAAGTTGAACAGTTCATTGGTCACTTGAACGATTCAACAAAAATTAAAAAATTGAAAGAAATTTTATGTCAGAGAAACATGAAAAATATTTTAATTTATTATTACAAATTGAGTAGCGAAAACAGGTATTAAATGATTGTTCATAATTTAATCGCGAGTCTACTTTAGAGATTACAAAGGGTTAAAGATATTATCGATAACCTGTGTTAAACTCGTTCTCGGGGCAGTTTAAAAAATGGAAGCGTTGCATGTCGCCCTTGCTGCTCACGGATTAGATTACAGGTCTTTGTCAGTTTTCGTTACCCCAGCAATTAATTTTACCCCGTTTAGATCGAGTTATCGCTCACAGCTAGAATCTTCATCCCGTAAGAAAAAGTCGGCGCAAGCAATTTTCAACGCCGATCCTTTCTTCCATTACATTTCATTTTCCCCTTTGATTAATTGCATGAACAAACATTTTCATTTCAAACAAAAATTAAGTGCACTCCTGTCGAATCCGTTTCTCAGTTCAATTGTTTTAATTAACACAGCGACGTGAAATCAGTACAAATTACATAAATCTTTTTGGACGAGTGTCAGGAGGGCTAACTCTATGGCTTTATAATTCTTGTCAGTCGGCTAGACTTTGATCACTTTATCTCATCTTTATATACCTATCAAACATTTATAACTCACTTCAGCTCTTGTACACCGAGTCCTTCATATTCCACGAGCGCGCGAGTATTAAATATTCTGCCTGCAAAGATTCATAAACGTTTAGTGAGTGGTTCGTAATTCGCAGCTCGAGTAGCTCCTCTCCATTTGATCGTATTAGCCCTGTGAGGATAGCTCGCGTTATCCCGAGCATGTGCACGTTCGAAAACGGGCTAGTTAGGCAGACAGGCACCGGTTCGATGAATTAATGAGATCGTATGAGAGAAAGGCTGATAGAAATTCGATTTACCATGAATCCACGGGGCGAATTTTCGAGAGGGCCACGGAGAGGTGCTCTCTCTCGCTTCATGAACAAGCGTTAACAAGATGGACTACGGGTGGCAGGAGTATTTATCGAAAATTCCGCGAAGGAACGGTGGCCGATCAGATAATTGCGCTGCAACGTCATTACCAGAACAAGCCTGCAGCTCCAGGCCTTATCGTTGGCCCACTGTTCCCGGGCTTGTTAATTAAGCCTGAATGACGGCGCTTGATTGGCGTTCCAGCGTCGACGTTCATCAAAACGCCTAGCATGTGCAACGAACTCGTCACGGTATCCTGTTCGATTCCTCAGATAATATTTTTCTCTGCTCATCTGTCTATAAAATTTAACGGTAAACCCAGGCTTCGCTTTCTCCCGTCGGAACGGCGACGAGATCCGTGCGCCGAACAGCCGATTAAACGTGGGGGAGACGGCTCGCAAGGGCGCCGTTTCCACGAGGCGTTTAAAGATTAACAACGCTGATTAGCCTGCTCCTTTCGTTCGAGCACGATTCGTTAATCTTACGATTACTATCGCGGCACCGTTTCGTGGTACCTGTTGCTGTGTTGTGCATAAACCTGTACGCGTGTGTAACAAAGTTCATTAGTCGCCGCGCTAGCCGACGACGACGCGACGTATTAAATTAACTCGGCGTTAATCAGGCGCTTACTTCGTTACGTGGACACCCGTCAAGGGGAATACGTATTCGTTGTTTGCCATTAGTCTTCTCCTACTGTCCAGGATTAATCATCTTGACGGGATAAAATCCGACGTATCTGGGGGTAGCTTCGTCCACATTCGGTGTAAATTCGTGGCTGTTCATAAATAATATATCCGAGCAAAATTGATTTGCTGATTTGCTCTTGATCGCCAGATTTAGTGTATCACCGGTGGGACGAATGCGAGGTGTGATAAAAAAGAAATTGGATTCTATTTGCGTTGAAGCCCCTGTTTCTAATATTATATATTAACGCAGGAGGGACTATTTCGAAAGAGATACAAGC